TATTATTGCACCTGCACCCGTGGAAGGCAGTGATGGGGATGAGGATGATAGTGGAGGTGGTATTGAGGATGATAGTGGAAATGGTGATGATGATGATAGTGGAGATGGTGATGGGTTTTCTACTGACTCAGATGATAGTGTGGAGGATGAGCCATATAAACCTCCTCTGCCTATGTATGATACAGAAACAGAGAGTGAGGAAGAGTGCAAGGGGAAGGGTAAAGCTGCTGGACAATAAAAGCAAAACAAGAAGAAAAAAAGGAGGTTGAAGATGTGGCAGGGGAAGATACAATGGAAGAGGAGGAGAAGTCAATGTCTTTCGAGGAGGGTGGGTATGGGTATAACTCTGAAGAGTTGAACACGCCTCCTTCAAGTGGTGATGAGGAGGATGGAAATGTTGTCAATCCAAAGTTTAATGTGCATGAGGAGTTTGGTCATGTACACTTAGAGCTGGGGATGGAGTTTGTGAGTCTTCAAGAATTTAAAAATGTTGTCAAAGACTATAGTATTGATCTAGGAAGACAATTCAAGTGGCTGAAGAATGACAAAGTCAAAGCCCGAGCAAAGTGTAGTAATGATGAATGTGATCGGATGATTTACTGTGCGTGGAACAACAAGATGGCAGCTTTCCAAGTCAAAACTTTTAATGACATCCACACTTGCTGCAGACTTTTTAGAAGCAAGAGGGCTAGTAGGGATTGGGTTGCAAAGAAATTAGAAAAAAGGCTAATGACACAGCCGAACATGACAAGGGTTGAGGCCTACGACCACATGAAAGAGGAGTACAAAGTTCATGTCCATTTGAAGAAAGTGACAAAGGAACTTCATAAAGCCAAGGCCAAAATAGAAGGGGGTGAAAAAGAACAGTATGCAAAATTGAGAGACTACTTAGGTGAGCTATTGAGAAGCAATCTAGGGTCTACATGTCAAATGCAAGTGATCCCACAACCTGATCCGCACTCTTCACCCATATTTTCTAAGTTGTACATTTGTCTGGATGCATGCAAGAGAGGGTTCAAAGCTGGCTGCAGGCCCTTAATTGGTTTGGATGGATGTTTCTTGAAAGGATATTATGGAGGTCATTGTTAAGTGTAGTTGGGGAGGATGCCAACAAAAGCTTCTATGTCATCGCATATGCAGTTGTTGATAGTGAAACAAAAGAGAACTGGAAGTGGTTTTTAACCCTTTTACAGGAAGACATTGGCCCTCACGCAGTGTTTGGGTGGAATTTTATTTCTGACCAACAGAAGGTTTGTTTTGCTTATTTTATTTGTTTACTCTGTTTTTCCTTCACTGAATCTGATCTCACTGTATTGCTTATTGGTTTTTTTGTTTTTTTTTTGTGTCTGTGTGTAGAGGCAGATAACAGCACTACAAGAGGTGATGCCTGGTGCATATCATCGTTTTTGTGTGCAGCATGTTTGGAAGAACTTCATAAAGCAGTGGAAAGACAAGGCAATTCGAGCCATGGTCTGGGAGTGTTCAAGATGCACCACTGTCCCACAGTTCCAGCAGTCAATGGCACGGTTGAAAGGGAAGAATGAGGCTGCATGGAAGTACTTGGATAACATTCAGCCCTCAAGTTGGGTGAAAGCTTATTTCAGCCACTGGCCGAAATGTGATAATATCACAAACAACATGGCAGAGGTATGGAATGCCAAAATTGTTGGACATAGGTCAAAATCAATTATCACTCTATTAGAGGAATTGAGATGCTACATTATGAGGAGGATGGCTGCACATTAGAGGGTGTTAGGAACTGTTCGGGGTAAAATTGCTCCTGCTCAGCAAAAGAAACTGGATCAGTTAAAGGTACTTAGCAATTCATGGACACCAACTTGGACTGGAAATTTGCAGCAAGATATGTATGAGGTCAGTGGGAGAGGTGATAGAGTTGGAGTGAATTTAACAACACATACATGTGCATACAATGCATGGCAGTTGACTGGACTGCCTTGTGAGCATGCTATAGCAGCCATTTGTCACAAAAACAAACCAGTCGAGAACTGTGTCCATCAATGGCTTACAGTGGATGCATTGCATGCCACATATGCGCACACCTTAAACACAGTGAATTCAGACAAGTATTGGCCTGCATCAGATGAACCCAAACCTCTTCCACCAAAACTTAAAAGGCCAATTGGGCGTCCCAAGAAACACAGGAAGAAGGACCCAACTGAAGACCAAGGGAGCATGACAAAGAAAGTTAAAAGGACATATGCAGCCAAGTGTACTAAATGTGGTCAGACTGGACACTATGCCAAGAGTTGTAAGGGGCCACCAGCTTCCAAAACAGATAAAAGCCAAGCAAGACCACAATCTGTGAGGATTGGCTCTGACTCACTGTAACAGCCTCAAACCCTGTAGATGAAATCCCATTAAGTCACAAGGAGGCCCTTCAGCAGTTGGTAGTTCTCAGCCCCATTAAGGCAACTTGAGAGGAGGCAGCCCTCCTCCTTCAATTCCAGAAGAAGCAAATGCAGTGTTGACTGAAGAGACAATGAAGGCAGCAAGCAGTGGCACACGAAGTAGATTTTTGCACTTCATGACAACACCTGGTTTCAGGACACCAAGGCCATCCTCAACAAAATGAGCTGCTGATGAAGAAGAACAAGGGAGTAGTGCATGAGCCAACTGACAAGGAGTGGATATAATGGGATTTTTTTGTAAATTCTGGCCATTTGTTTTTGGAGGCCTTATACAGTTATAATGTAATTTTTTTATGCATGGCCATATTGTACTTATAGGTCTCACTTATGATTCCTATTAGTTGGCTTTTATTTGTAATGCACTACTAGTTTCTAGTTCTAGGAAGACAATTATGTGTAACTGGTTATATTCTGGATATGCATGTTATGTGGCAGGGTTGATGAATGTGATAATTTCATGTCCATTTTATGTTTTTAACTGAGTTGGTCAATTAGCTGAGGCATGGTCATGTACTGGTTTGTGCAGGTTTATGCAAGGCCATATTTTCTGGTTACTGGTCATTCCATATGGCTTTACTTTTGGATGTTAAGTGCAATTTATTTTGGTTCACAGGTTGATGAATGTTGCAGCTATTATGTGGCAGGGTTGATGCATGTCATAAGTGCATTTTCTGGTTCTTATGTTTTTTAAGAGAGTTAGCTTGTTGTTGGTCATTTAGCTGCCATATTTGCATTCTGGTGCAGGTTTGTGCTGTGTTACTGGCAAAACAGATCATGCCCAATTTTCTGGTTACAGGGACCAATTAGGACCCCGACATTCATTGTGAGGGACCAATTTGGACCCCTGCATACTGCATTTCTGATGTTAAGTGCATTTCTGATGGCAAAGCATATAAGTCAGGGACAAAATATGTTTCTGATGTTAAAATGAGTGCTGCATTTTGTTGATTTGGACATCAAGAACTCATGTCCTATAATTCTGGAATCAGGGACCAATAAGTGCCCCGTGCACTTTGTCAGGGACCAAAACGACCCTCGAGTAACATTGCTAGGGACCTAAATGGTCCTCGTGTTTTGCAATCAGTAACAAAATATGCATAACAGTATGCAACTTCTGCATCAGCAATGTCATGAGTTATGCATCTATATTAGTAGCAATCTACATCTGTTTGTGATACAATGTAGCAATCTTTTATCCTTCAAGGCTTTTTTAATAATACACACAAACAGATTGGCACTAACACATAATTTGTATAACATAAAGAAGGAATACTCATTACAATTCACTGAAGGAAAAATACATTTGGGTCACTCGTTTTTACCTTTACCACACTAACAACAAACATACAGATCATGATCACACCAACACAAGCACCTAAGACCCTAGCTGACCTATCAACTATCCTAATTTTTCTGTCCATCCTATCTAACTCCTCCACCATCTTCAGGTATACATCACTCAGTTTTCTTTCCTGCTGATGAAGCTTCATTCCTTGCTCAGTAATCTTCACATCTTGCTCTCTCATCATCATCTCCACATATTTCAACTTGAAGTTAATTTCAGCAACATCCAACTCCACAGTGTGAATTCTTGCTTCTTCCAGCTCCATGGGTTCATTACACATGTCATCTCCCATATAAAAAAATCACAATAGGGCTTCTTCTCCTGCAAAAAAAAAAAAACCACGGTTAGCAAGTGTTCCAACTCAATAAAGGGGCAGATTACAAATTCATACCTTGAAATTAGGACAACCAAGGAAAACCCTGTTTGGGTTCCTCTCAGTTTTGGAGGTATAAACAATACTTTGTCTCCCACATTTGCACCTCCAACCGCCGGTCCTTGTCATTGTTCTTCCCCTATTGATTTACTCCCACTTGATCCCCCCATGCCAGAAGAAACACTCATCTTCTCCCACGCCCAGAAATTCGGTTGATGGGTTTTACTGTCGTCGAGTTTCAATCATCAAAGTGCAGACATTTTGGGGGTGTATTGCTGTTTAGGGGATGGAGTTTCCGGTTTAGGGTTCGATTTAAGGAATTTGGGGTTTTTTCATTATTAGGGTTCATTATCAGAAGAGGAAACGACGTCGTCGTCTCCATTACACACATTGCAACCCATTTTCAAGAAAACGTCGTCGTTTGTAGTTCCAACGTGTCTACCGTCTAGTCCCCGTCATCAGACTAACGTGCCACATGGGCACCGTTAGTTTGACCGTGATGGAGAAGTTGACAGAAAGACTAACGTGACCCTTTTTTTTCATAATTTTAGGGACCAATTTGGTCCTTTTTTATTGCCAGGAACTAAAAAGAATTTCGTAGATATTGCCAGGGATCAAAAATGGTGTTTACTCTAAACAAATTTGATTAATGAATGTATTTTTACAATTTCATTATTTGTGAAATGATTTTCTCATTCGATAAATAATTAATAAATTATAGAATCAATTGCAATGCAACCCATAGTTCCATAACTAAATCTCATATAAATGGAAATTTTACTGTTCCGATCCCGGTTTTAATACACTGGTTAATACCACCACCAATCCAAAGTTTTAAAATCTTGAAAGGAAGAAAAGGCAGAATTTTCGCATAAAAAAACAGAAAGTGAATCGACGAGGAAGCAGGGGGGGAGTGGAGAGAAGAAGCCGCCGCGTGATGACAACCGTTAAGTGATTGGTGACTATGTGTGATGTGGCCTCATCATAGCTCTTTGATTCATCCAAAACCAAAATTCCCCATTTGCCATTTGTCTGACTGAGTCTTCTCTTCTCTTCTCTTCTCTTCCTCTCATTCTCATCTGATTCTGAATCTAGCAAGGAGCACAAGGTACCTCTCGTCGTTTCCCTCTCCCAATCGCCAGGTACGTCTTGTCGTTTTGCTTCAATCATTCAAACGCTATATTCCCTCATCATCTACTATCGCGGATCCCGAAAACATTCAGTGATTTTTTCATCATAGTATTTGTGGTTCTGAGTTTTTGTGTTAACATCGATTCGTTCGTATTATGTGTCGTCTGGAATGTTTTATGTTCGATTCGTATAGTATGATGGAGGATTTTTATTATCCATATATTGCAGTGATTTGAGAGTGTCATGAAATTTGACTAGCGGGAATGCATGTGCTTGAGTGAAAGGCTTCATTGCTTATTTGATTGAGATATTGAGATTACGATGGCCTCAGCTGTCTTGAATTTCATGAACACTACAATAGATTGGGTGAAATTTGCTTTAGATGCACCTTCTGCGCGAGCTGTAGTTTTTGGAGTCCATATCGGTGGTAATCTTTCTTATACTGAACTTGAATAGCTTCTTCTTCTTCTTCTACGATTATAAATGTGATTGATTAACTTAATTAATTAATTTTCACCATTATTAACTTTTGTTTGAAGGACATTTATTTATCGAAGTTTTTCTCCTGGTGGTCATACTTTTCTTGCTTTCCCAGAAAAGTTACAAGCCTCCTAAAAGGCCCTTAACAAACAAGGTTAGTTCAACAGTACTATCTCTCTGTGTGCCCGCGGGCATGTGCATTTTTTATATATACATTCAATTTATTTGATGAATGTGTTAGCTGTGAAGAGCTGATATATTGCTTGTGTAGACTTTTATGTGAAAATAAATTTGACATTTGGTAGATTATCAATGTGATTTTTTCCATATAAAATGACTTTTATTTGTCTATTTCATCAAATGCAAGTAGGCTTCACCTCTAATTTGTATGTGAAGTTAGTATGAGTATATTGTGCAGTTGAAAAGTGGTTTCCGTGATGTCTAGATTTTAGTATTTCTTCAAACACTTCAATGTAAATAGAGTAATGGACATTCAGATATTGTGGTTTTTAGCAGTTCTAGGGATCTAACACGTCTTATTATTTTTTATGTGAGGTTTTAGAGCTTTCAAGTTCAATTAATCTTTAGATTTCCAATAAATGGAAAATATGTTCTTCCGTTATCAAATCACAATACAAATTGTTACTAGCTAAGTTAATTTTTGAATCGTGAATAGTAAATCAATTCGAGTCGTAAGATCCAGAGACACTGAAAAATAGCTTGAAAGATATCATATAAATGATGTATAATGCTCAATGTTTTAAATTTAAACTACAAATTGGTAAAATAACTTAACCATAGGTCTCACAAAACAAAATCATAAATGATAAGTCATAACTGAGTCACATAAATTGATTGCATGAAGCCTATGTTTCATAAGAATTAAATTAGCATAATGAACTAGCCAAATAAAATGCATATTGAGGGAGTGAGTGACTACATGAAGTATCTGTTTTAGAAAAATGAAAATAGAGTAATGGACTAGCCAAATAAAATGCATATTGAGGGAGTGAGTGACTACATGAAGTATCTGTTTTAGAAAAATGAAAATAGAGTAATGGAATAGCCAAGTAGTAGGCATAAAATGAGTGAGTGAGTGAGTGAATGCATGAGGCCCTTGTTTCCAAAGATTGAAAACATGGCAATGGAATAATCAAATACAGTGAATTCAGTAGTGCTCCTTTAGTTCCTTTTCCAAATGGGGCGAATCCTGGTGCACAAGGCTTCCTGACTTTGTGAGGGTAGGGGTTAAGGTTGATTATATGCAGCCTTACTCTTGTATTTTTGCACAGAGACTATTTCCCAGACTCAAACCTATAACTTTCCAATCACAACAGAGGAACCTTACCGCTATTTCAAGGCTCGCCCTTGATGAAAGAAAAACAAAAAAGGAAAAAAATTTAAAGAATATTTGAATTGGCGATTTTTATCGGTGAGGCAGAATGACACCGATTCATGCATGTACTGCACAATTCAAAGCCATCTCCGATTTATCACATGGTATGAATCATTGGCTTGCCGAATTGTGTTGAATCATGTGATTTGAATCCTAAATCATGGGATTCTAACAACTATTGTGGATTTTAGCTATGCTTTTTGCTGATCATATGGTTTTTTCTGGTGCTGACTTAGAACTATACTGACGTTTAGTTTCTGTTTTCATTTGCCTTCAAGAAGTTTAGAAATCAGTAAATGAAGGATTTTATTTTGTGAAGTTTGGAACTAATTACTACTCATTAGCCCTCTATAGTTGGTTGTACAATAGCAGCTTTCTTTATGATGTATTTGAACTTTCTTTTCAGATGATTGTGAAGTTGTAATTTTTAGAAACACATCTTAGAACGGATTTTCAAATTTGTATAAAATCTACCTATCGTTACGTAAGTTCTATCATAGGAGGTTTACGCTTGGTAATTTGTATCATATTGGTAGCTTTTGCGGGCCATATTGGGTTGTTCTATGTATTTCTGGAATGTAGTTGGTAACTTTTGAAGATCTTGAACACTTGATATGGGAATTCAAGGTTTTTGTTTTCAAACTTTTTTATCTTTTTCCAAGAGCAATTAACTTGTGTGCCCAACTCAAAGTTGTTATCTTTCTCTGTCTCCCATGCATCTTGTAAATGGCGTTCATTCTGATATAAGTTCTGCCCTATGGATATATTGTATGCCTCGCTTGGTGCTTCAAAATATGTTACTACTTTAAAAGATGTTGCAGTGGTAAGATGGATATTGGGGGATAGTGATACTATTGTTGTTTGCTTAGCAATTTATTCTCTCTCTGTCTGCAATTACTGCTTAAAATATTGAATTCTGTTGAGATATGTTTTCAAAATTCAAATTTATCAGTCTCCTTCTGTATATAATTTTTTATAACTAGAATTTTCCGTGGTTTATCCCCCCCCCCCCCCCCCCCCCGGTTCTTCTCTCTCTCCAAATACTGTGTGTAATCTCTAAAGTTACTTCTATTTTCTAAAGGACGGGCTTACAATATTCTTTTGAGCAAATGTTTATGGCTTGAATTTCTAAGCATATTGTTCCGTGTTAGTTCTTGCACAATCCGATGTGACATTCATCAAGTTGTTGTACTTTGACATTTTTATATTTTTGCTTAATGTATGCAGGAAATTGATGAGCTATGTGATGAATGGGTTCCAGAACCTCTTATTCCTTCTCTTAATGATGAGATGCAGTATGAACCACCAGTTCTGGAGAGGTGATTACCTTTTCTCTGATGATAGCACCTTCATTTATTTCTTATTTCTAATGTTTTAAACATGTTATAATTTATGTTTCTTGTATGATTTGCTGATGGAGTTCTTTCCTAAAAGTATCGTATGTTGTTTTGTACTTGTCAACTTCACTGTTATGGTTACATTTCCTTGACTTAGATTCATGAAATTCTTGAGGGTGAGCCGAGGCAGTGACCTGGTGTTCATGGGTTATAGCAGATGAAACAACCTCTTTGCTCACAGGGTTAAGGTTCCAACATCATACCCTATCCAGACCCTACTAGAATGGGAGCCTCGTGCACTGGACCACCCTTTATTCATAAAATTCGTGTTTTCTAAAAATTTCTCCCTTTTTTGATCTTATGATATTTCAGATGCTTCCCTTCTTGTTTTCAAAGTCACACAGTTCTTCCTAATTGTTAAATTTTAGCACAACATATAGGGGAGCTGTATGTTTTAAGTACAAAATATGGAAGGTTCATGTAACCTTTTGGACAAGAAGGGGTTTTTTGTCATATTAGATTTTGAAAATAAAGGGAGGCCTGTGTAATTCACAATTAAAGAATATTTTTGGTTGAAATATTTGCTCTGTACAAGCATCAAATAATGGGCTCAATTTGTCATGTAAGTTAGAAAATAGGATTGCTATCTGGACTCTGGAAGATAAATGGCATGAAGAGCTCATTATGTATGCAAGTTAAACAGTAGGTACTAGAGAAAAATAGGCCATTGTCTTTTTTGTATCTTCCTGATAATGCAATATGTTTCATGCAGTGCTGCTGGGCCACATACCATAATTAATGGTAAAGAAGTTGTCAATTTTGCTTCAGCAAACTATCTTGGGTTTATTGGTCATCAGAAGTTACTTGTAAGGAAGTGGTCCCTATATATCAAAATTAAATTCTTCTTGTTGAGCACTAGGTTGATGCTGTCAATTTATATTTGCTTTTTCTTGTAGGACTCATGTTCTTCTGCTTTAGAGAAATATGGTGTTGGTTCTTGTGGTCCGCGTGGGTTTTATGGAACAATTGGTAAGACTCAATCTTAAAGTATGTTTTTTTTTAGGCAATTCTCGTTCTCTTACGATACTTTTCCTTTGCCCAGATGTCCATCTTGACTGTGAAGCAAGAATAGCAAAATTTTTAGGAACCCCCGATTCAATCCTCTACTCTTATGGACTGTCCACCATGTTCAGTGCTATTCCCTGTTTCTCTAAAAAAGGAGATATAATTGTGGCGTAAGTATGCATAAGCGTGTGTCTTTGAATATCTAATATGTGGTCTTCTTCAGCTTTTCCTCAGTTTTTGTCTCATGACATTTATAGTGGACATTGATAACCAGACATCACATATACCATTATTTGGGTGGTTTTATGTCATTGCTTTTGCTTCTTTATTAGAATGGTATAAAGAATGAACTGAGTTACTTCTTCTCCATTCCCTTGATATTTCAAAATTCATAGCAAAAATAATGTCACCTGGTAACTACTGATCAATGGAGGCTGCGTTTCTATTATCTCTGATGTTCTGAACGGGACTATGTTTCATATATACATTTTTATCATTTACAGGGATGAGGGAGTGCACTGGGGAATACAGAATGGCCTTTATCTTTCTAGAAGCACAGTGGTGTATTTTAAGCACAATGACATGAACTCTTTAAGAGAAACTCTAGAGAACATTACTTCCAAAAATCAGCGGGCCAAGAAATTGAGGCGTTATATTGTGGTTGAAGCTGTCTACCAGGTAGATCTTTCTGTCGTGCACGTGGTAGATTAGCTTTACACTTCTACATTTTGTTTCCAAATAAGTGCTGACAACCCTTGGCACTAAAAGCAATTAGCTGCTTGAATTGCTTGCTTCTTCCTGCAAGTTGCAATAATGGTAAAATGTGCTATATGAATTAATTTGTACAGCTAAGATAGTAGGGTAATCAACAAATGCAAATTAAGATATTTATGAAGGATTAAAATAAACATTTAAGCCTTAAAAAGTAGCAATCCTTTGGTTTGTTTTATATTTATCCAATGAACTTGTAATTATTTGGGGATTCAAAAATAACACCATTGTATATGCATGAAAGTACTTATAAGTTCGGTATATGCTTTAATGCATGCATTTGTGTGCCTTTATAACCGTAGAGATATATAAAATCATTATTGTAGCCTCACCCAACAGCTTAAGCTTTTGGGTTGAATTAGTTCTTTACATGGTATCAGAGCCTCGTATATCGGGTTCGATCCTCGCCGCCCCCCACTTTCGTTCAAGTGGAATTTCTTTGTTCGCACAGGTAGGTAGGCCTGTGCATTGTCCACCCTTCAAGCCCAGTGGACTCTCTTGTGAGGGGGCGTGTTGAGATATATAAAATCATTATTGTAGCCTCATCCAACAGCTTAAGCTTTTGGGTTGAATTGGTTCTTTACAATAACACACGTCATTCTTATACAGTATAGAAATTGTTAATGACCAACTCTCCTAAAAACATAAGCTGTTAGGTGAAGGTTCATGATCCATTTTATATCTCTAACATGCTCTTTTGTGCAAGAGCTCTTTGGGCTTGAAACGAGGATAATGCATATGCCTACTCTACCATACTCTAAAACTCAACTTCATTTAGAAAAAAGGGAGGCGGCTAGGATCAAACTCTTGACTACTTGGTAATAGAAGCTCGACTCCATGTCAATAACCAACTCTATACAAACTTAAGCTTTTAAGTGAAATCTCATGATTGGTTTTGTATGTCAAATGGAAATAATCCTGCAACTGTTGCAAACCAACCTTCCTTACAATTTTCTCCTCATTAAAATCCACTCTCCATAAAACCTTGATTGCGAAGTTAGGCGTGAGGAAAATTTCTGCATGTAACCTTATGCTTGCATTTTTTCCGGAGGTTGTTTCTTGGATTTGAGCCCGTGATCTCTTACTCACAAAGAAGAAGCTTCACCACTGCTCCAGGCTTGCCCTCTTAATTTCTCCTCATTAATTTTCTAAATTTTTTGTTATTTGAATTGTTCTTATTAGAGCCAAAATAGGTTGTAAATAAAAAAAATGTGTTGGTGTTAGATCGATGTATGCTGCAATGTCATTCTTTAAAAAAACTATTGTGGCTTGCCCTGGTTTTCTTAACCATTCTGAACTGTAGAAATTATTTTTTCTGGAGTTGTCTTACTAAATTCTATCCATGTTCCTATGCCTTGCCTACACAAAAACTGAAATTGCTTGACCAATTCCTGTTAACTTCTTTTTCTCTGTAAAATTTTCAGAATTCTGGCCAGATAGCACCCTTGGATGAGATCATTAAATTGAAGGAAAAATATCGTTTTCGTGTTTTGCTGGATGAGAGCAACTCATTTGGTGTGCTCGGAAGTTCTGGAAGAGGTCTCACCGAATACTATGGAGTTCCAGTATGTACTGAAAATTTCTGTGTTTGCAAGTGGGTGCATACACTCACTAGATGCAAGTGTGCATATATTCAAAATTGTATTGCTATTTGTGATTTATGGTTACATGCTGCAGGTTGAAAAGTTAGATATTATAACTGCCGCTATGGGACATGCATTGGCCGCAGAAGGAGGATTCTGCACTGGAAGTGCTAGAGTTATAGATCACCAAGTATGGAAGTGTCATATGTGATATATAACCATCTACAAGTAATGTGTTGGGTTTTGAAGTATACTGTGGGGAGAAAAAGAAAATTTTGTAAAAGTGGAAATTAAGAATTTATTTTTCAAGGACATTTTTCCATTTTATTTACTTTTCATCATTTACTCCTAAATTTATATGTCTGAACTGTAAAAGTTGCATGATGGAGGGATGTGTCGTCACTAATTTATTGTTTGATGATGGCAATTATTTCTCATCATTTTCCATGCACTAACATCTGTATGTTTAAACCTTGGCAGCGATTGAGTAGCTCAGGCTACGTCTTTTCTGCTTCTTTGCCCCCATATCTTGCAAGCGCTGCAATTACAGCTATTGATGTTCTGGATGAAAATCCCAATCTGATAACAAAGCTGAACAACAACATTGCTGTTTTATGGAAAGGTGGACTTGGAACTCACTGCTAATTTTTTAAATGGAATTATATTGTAGTGTCTACATTTTGGCTTTTGCACAACACCTGGCACTGTGAATTGCTGTTTATTTGCGTTTGTTTTTCACCCGTTAAAGGAAGGATTTTATTTTATTGTTTTGGTTAAGCAATATGATTTGAGACACCTGGGCTATTGCAGGATTGTCAAAAATACCAGGCTTCACAATTGCAAGTAATCCAGAGTCACCAATTATTTATTTGAGATTAAAGAAGTCAACAGGTTCCTTGAAAGATGACCTACATCTGCTTGAAAAGATTGCTGAGCGTGTAAGGAATGTTGTTTGACAATGTTTATTTCTTGTTTTCAATTTTGCTTGTACTTAATGTTGTGTATTCACAGGTTTTGAAAGAAGATTCTGTATTTGTGGTGACTTCCAGAAGATCAACACTGGACAAATGCCGTTTGCCTATAGGAATTAAATTGTATGTTTCTGCAGGACATTCAGAATCTGATCTTCTCAAGGCATCTGAATCATTGAAAAGGATTGCAGCATTAGTACTGGGTGGTCATAATTGAACGCTGTACACCTCTCTGCTTCTTTTTATGTACCAAAACATCATTTTTATTCCATGTTTAGGTGAGCAAATTTGAAATCCAGGCCGATAGAGAAAGTCATGTAGTTGGTTATTTATGGTAATGTTTAATACGTGTATTTTGCTAGTTTAGGGTAACAGTATATTGCGCGCGTGTGTGTTGGTCATTGGTTTATACGTGTGAAGGTTGTAGAATAAGGATTTAATGTTTCTTACATGAGTTGGGGAAAATGCTTATAAATTACATTCTGAGTTCTTTTTTTAAGTGGACTGCTTGCATGTCAGAAGTACCAATATTACGTTGTGTGAATGCGTAGTCAAAGTTGTTTTCCTTTTATACAATTCAACCTTGTCAAAAAAATTATTCAAGAATATTCTTTGAATGCTAAAATTACGTATTGAGTTTGGATTCTTGTATCCATATTTCAAATATTGTTCGTGATTCTTTCCAAAGAAATGAAATAAAAGATATGGTAGAGTTGTAAAAGTTAAAAGGTCGTGTACTGATTTTTGAATATCTGCTATGGTAGAATATTCATGAGGTATTTTTTCAGATTTTGCACATGTGATACACGCCTCTTTTATTTCTCCGAGCAAAATTCACCACTTCTTGTCTGACTTGCATGTGTAAAGCATGATGCCAATGTTCATCCTAAGTTAGGATCAATAGCATTTCGTTAGATAGGAACAAATTTGATAAATATTTATAACTCTCGTATTAGAATGGAAAAATTCACTATGGTATGAGATATGAAATTTCTTTTTACCTTCCATTAAAAAAATAAAAAATATATCGACTCTTTTAGATCCCGATTGGGCCAGCCTCTTAACAGTACGAAATAAATTAGATGAATTCAAGTCTAATGTTTCTTTCCACAAGCTATGCATTTCGAATTGTATTTACTATCTAATTTAAAACCTATTAATTATTAAGATTGAAACCAATAAATTTCCATCTTTTAACAAGCTTTTTAATGAAGTCTAGGGATGGCAAAAATAAAATAAAATTATGTAACATTTGTATTTTACTAGCTACTTCTATAGGAGAAATCCAATTGATAATCTTAGTATTTAATATAAATGATTGATTCTATTTTTTCTCAAATAAAATATTTAATTATTGTCTTCTTTTCTTTGATAAAAACGAAGAAAATGCACTCCGTATAAATGATAGAGAAACTTTAGCAAATATGTAAATTAGGGGTTGGGAGTCCTACGTTCGCCCTTATGCGGAGCAGATTCTAAAAATTGTGGCATGGCTATGCTTATTAGTAGGGTTGGCAATTTACTTTCTCTCTTCATCTTCTTCTTCTACAAGATGTTAATGCTTTTTATTCAATTTGAACGACAATTTTTCTTCAAACAATATGTCAAATTTAATAAAAAAAGATAGCAGAATTTTACAAAGAGGAATGATATACTTATCACCAAAAAAGTTTATCACCCTTACAACCAACCTAATCTTCGTTGATTTCCGTCAATCTAACGGTTATAATTTACTGAATTTATTGAAAATTAATAAATAACTAATAAATGCGATCCAATAAATTATAACCGTTAGATTGATGAAAATCAACGAAGATTAGGTTGGTTGTAAAGGTGGTAATTTTTTTTGGTGTTAAGTATATCCTGCCCATTTTACAAATACTAAACTCTGAAAAATGTTATGCATGCGTGTAGTACTATTATGGAAATAGGTATTGTGATCAAAAAAGAAAATTCAAGTCACTCAAAAGAAAACTAAACAATAAGGAATAAAAAAACACAGTCCTACCGAAGTGTGGTGGCTCAGTTGGTAGCATGGGGACTGAGTGGTGGATAGGACTTCGGTTCGAATCCTACCAACACCATATGGGGAGGGGCATAAGTACCGTAATCCTTGGATTCGCACCAAACTCTGGATTAGTCCCATAGGCGACTCAAAGAGTCGAACACGTGGGGATACCGAGGGGTTCTGATTCGCCTCAAAAAGGTAATTAGGATCAGTTTCCAAAAAAGAACACAGTCCTCCTTTATAAAAGAAGAAGAAGCTAAAAATAGCTCATTCAATGAGCTAATAAAACTTGAAAGAGCATGACATTCAATAATGATCAAACTAAAATAAATAAATAAATAGGCAATGCAACGAGAAAAAAGTTACCCACAAAATATCAATGTAATTAAAGTCGGTCCGACCAGGCCGGTCGGACTAGTTCCGGGATTGATTCTACGTATATAGAGATGTTTTCGTATGTATTTAAAATCAACATTTTTTTTACCAAAAATAAAAGAAAAAGATCAACATAATTTTAGTATTATTGTCTTTAGCTGCAAATTTGAATTGTAGAAGTATGCATGAAGCTTCCACTGGGATGCATGATGTTAAAAAAGCATAATCAAAAGGTACGTAGAATTAAAAATTCATTATATGGATTAAAACAATCTGCGAAAGCATGGCTTGAAAGGTTCACAAAGTCAATGAGAGCTTTTGGGTATCGTCAAAGCAGTTCAAATCACACTTTGTTTCTAAAAAATCAACATGATAAAATTGCAACATTCGTCATATATGTAAATGGCATGTTGGTGAGAGGAAATGATCCGGTGGAAGGAAAGGCTTTGTAGAATTATTTGTCTAGAGAATTTGAGATGAAAGATCTAAGTTCTCTAAAATATTTTCTTGGGATTGAAATTGCTCAATCAAGTAAATGAATCTTTTTATCTCAAATAAAGTATGATTTAGATCTTTTACATGAGAATGAGATTTCAAGATAGAAGAATGTTTGAAATTGTGTGTTGAAGTATGGAATATATAACTAAAAACATCTATAAACTTAACACCTTACAATTTTGGATAAATATGTGGCTTTGAGCTAACTTCTTGTTTCTTGGATTCCTTACTTAGCTCGTTGTAGGCGACCTCTCCTATTTGGGCTTCCTTTGTCCATCCTAATAATTGGCACCATGCATGATTGTCTCCAATCGTAGCACAATATTCGGAGACAATGATTATGGAAGTTGAAACTTGACAACTATTATTTGGGATCGTCAAAATACTTGGATAGGACTTCCACTTGAGGAGAAGTATAGTGATGCTGAATTTCATATTTGAAGGGGAGATTGTTAAAAATTCAAGCGTGAGAGATAAGTAATTAATGTGGGTATGCATGGATCGATTCAGTTTGAATTTTATGTTGAACCAAACCAAACTGGTTGTAGTGATTTGATTATTCAAACCGAACTAGTTTTGATTTTTTCAAACCGAATTTTCTTTTCTTGAATCGGTTTGGAACCAGTTTTGAAACCAGTTTATGGTTCAGACTCGATTATGGTTTAAAACTAGTTGGGAACCAGTTCTGAAACTGAAAAGCGGTTCAAAATTGTTTTGTCTCCTAATTGATTTGAACATTATGCAAATATGTTCTGAATTGAATTCAAATCAGTTTTGAACCTGTTTTGAACTGATTTTCAGTATTTTAAGTCATTTAATACTTTTAAACTCTGAAGATACTACTTTTGACTTAATAGTGGGAGTTGATTTAATGGTCTGCTATATTTATAGTATGAGTTCAGACAATAACATTTATTTCTCTTTTGAATCGCGATGCGATCTAATCTGTTTAAGCTTCCGATACAATATTTTTTTTTTTAATTTTAAGTTTACAATTTTAAATTTATAGAAAGACAATTTTTTCATAATAACTTTATTTATTTTTTACACAATGATATATACACGTGTGTGTATATATATATGTATGTATATATTATTAAATTGAAACTAATTTAACTTTATTTTATATATTCTTGAATTTTAATTTTAACATATACTTTTAACATGATATGCAAATCATAGGTAACAATATTTATTATATGTGTAATACATATAATGATGATGTATTGCATTATATGGATATATAGAGCAAGTTGAGTTGACAAGTAAAGATTTTTTCACTTTTTTGAGGTATGCTGTTGCTCGTATAAGAATTTCAAACAGGCTTACTTCAAAGTATTTCTGGCCAAATGATACAAGTGTACTCCAACATTATATGGGTATATTTAACATTTTTAATTTCGACTATTCGGGGCGACCATCCCCTCTAACATTACCAGCACTTGCGATTTGAAATTAAAAATACGATGATGAGATATACCTTCTTGATATTGTCCAAGAACTTTCAACCATAATATCTCTTCTAAATGATCCAGAAGTGAGAGCAGCGATGAATCTATAACAAAACTTAAAAATTATGTGGATAATATAAAACAAATCAGAGACAGATCTTAAAACAATAAGTGTAATCCCCATTTTCTTATCCATCGAAATGGATTTTTTCTTGTCATCAAGTATATGGGCATACAAGAAGCAAGGATCCAATAAAATTGCAACAAGACATGACAATACAAATATCTTGTTACAATTTTGAGGGAATGCACATTGTGGATCAAATATTTTCTTTCTATATCCAAAGCTTCTAGAAACAGCATGCTTGAATCCTCATAGAAATTAATTAACATATTCAAAAATTAAGAAAAGGATAAAAACAAAGATAAAAACAGGGTAAGCACTTGAGAGTTGAGTTTGAAACAGAAGACGACATAAAGAAGAAGAAGAAGAGGGAGGAGGAAGCACACTAAGCGTAGTTTTGAGTTCATATTTGAGTTCATAGGCAGAGATTTAATATAGGATTTAAGTACTATATTATAAGTGCATCATTAATGAAAATGTTCTACTTCTTTGAAATAAACTTTCCTTTAATCTGCAGTTCTATAGTGGTCACAATTAGTATGAAGGAACAAGTATTCATGGAAAATGAATTTTGTTCATATTAATCAATTTCATTCAAATAATACCATATGCAACACAGTTCATTTTTGCAACTTCATCTGCAAGTAAGCAAAACAACAACGTACTCCAATTCCATTTAAAGTTAGTACTTATATTTACAAAAGGGGAAAAAGGAAAAAATGCAAACTAATCATATGGTCATTGTAATGGGACAAACATAATCTTATATTAATTATTGTATCACACGCATAGCTAATGAGCCCTATGAATCATTCATTATAGAGATTAACAACATCACCTTTCACGATAGCCATAAATAGGATTTTTTACCATTGTACCATTAATTACATAAAAAATACCATTTTGTCCCCGTTTTTAAACTATTTCAAAAATATGATATTTTTCCTAAACATAATATCAATCTGCACCTTTTTGACCATTGAATGGCCATCATACTCACGTATATGACCTTCATACTCGAGTAAATCAAGTGTTATGAGTTTATA